ACTGCGAAAAATTATGTTGTGTAGCGTACAGTGAACAATTTGATCTGGAGATTTGTGGGGATTTATTTAATTCAACGTAGTATTCGTCACGGGCTGACGTCAGCTATTTCTTCTTAGCACCGGACTCCTCAGCAGTACGTATCCATAAACCCACAAGAAGTCGAATCCAGAACATTCAGGTTTCGTGGCCAGAAGGTTACCGTTGAGCCACTGCGTCAGAATCCAACGGCCCACATTTTCTACTTCTTTCAGTTAATGATGTAGCGCAATCTGAATCCAGCATCACCGATGTGCACCTATCTTCACGTACAGTGGATAACTTGGTCAACGGTTACAAGCACAATAGCCTTCCTTGGTGAATATGACAGAGACGACTGATATAAAATACTGTCAGCATTAAAGTCATGTTTGCTCCTAAACTCTTTCAGGCGACTATCGTCTTTGGTGGACGGGGTAAAATAATCAATAAAGATGAAATAATGTAAAGGGGAAGGAAACACAATCGTAGCAGAAGTTTAAATAAAGATCATGTTGGTCGCTTATTTCCTTTTTATCTCTAGGGCAATGGAATTCGCAGCAGGACATCTTAGAAAGGATATTTTCAGAAGGTCCACAGTCTTAAGGTTACAACATTACTTCCAATTATTTGTTAGTATTTCCTCTTTACACTGATGACTAGAAAGCAGATCGAAATCTGGGAAACCTTGAGTAAGACCCCCACACTTTCATCTACAATCAGCACTTCATAGATCCTTCAACAGGCGGTTACTTCTAATAATGTAGAGGTAATTCGGAGTTATCTGATGGCTTACATGCGTCAATACGATGGCTAATATGGAATAATCCCTTGAAGTTACACAAACGAGTCTCCTTATCCTACGTAGTTCAAATTTTGAACACATGAACCAGTCAAAAACCTTTGTAAATTTTTAATTGTAATTCCGTAAACAAAAAGACATCCACATTCTTTCTAGTGGGTTCAAGGTCAAGGTAGCGAAATTCTGCAGTTCAATTGGTTGCATTATATTGCGCTCTGTTAAACTGGTAAAATATTGTCTGCTTCATCGTTTTTTGTTGTAACTTAAAAATCCCTCCATCAAATACAAAGTTCAATGTTCAATTATTCCACTATATTATTATTTATGCATGATAAATATTGAGTTCTAGAGTAGTATATACCATTCCTCTCCACCATTATTTAGTTTCAGCAACTGTACAAATGATAGTGAACTCCATTGATGGCACTGCTATCATATCTACTTAAGGACATCAGTGGCCCTTAGGAAAACTTAATTTTATAAGCAAACGAAAAGAACACAAATAATGACTGAAAATATGAAAAGAATAGGAAAGTTCCAAGTTGGTGTTCATCATAGACTGACATTGAAACTCGCCAGCTGTTTCGTCCTAGTATGGGACTCCTCAACCTTGTGAATCCATGACCCTACTCCCCGCGGGTGGAATCGAGGACCTCCAGGTTCCGTGGCCAGCACGTTGTCATCGGGCCCCTGGGCTGTAATCCAGTGGTCCATACTTCCTACTTCTGTCAGTTCACCACAGGGTGCAATCATCACCCGATGTCATCGTTGAGTATTTGTGCTCACGGCCATCAGGTCTGCCCCATCGGTCACGACTTCTCATTCCCTGGAGGGGGTCATGGATGTGCACTACTGGGAAGTCCCATACTAGGACGAAACAACTGTCCAGTCCTCCTAGGTTTTCAATGGTTCCTCAACAGATGTCAATCTGTGATGAATACTACCTCAAAAATAAAAAAGTTGTTTATTTATCAAGCTAATATCAGCTAGAAAATTTTAGAAGTTAGATAAATGTTTTTGAAATTCTAACAGATTAGAACACTTTCCTTGGATGCCTAAAATAAATACACCATTTCTGGGTTGCATTTGGTATAGATTAACGTAAAAGAAAAAGCTGATCGAATTTCCGGGTGTTAATTTTGATTTCTTTGTGCTTTGAAGTTTCTTTAGTGGTTAGATTGGTTTTACGAGGTACGGTCGCTGGCACAATACACAACCTTCCCGACTTATCCGGGATTATATATATATATATATATATATATATATATATATATATATATATATATATATATATATATCAAATAACCAGGTTATTATCTAGGAAGACATCAACACAGATGAAACCAATCAGAGATAGTGAAGAAAACTTAGTTACCAAAGAGCAGAAACGAAGGAAACGATGGGCTAATCACTTCAAAAAGCTCTTGAATCGACCATCACCACCTTCAACTCGTCCAGAAATAGCACTAGTAACCGCAGAATTACCAGTGAACATAAGCCCTTCAATAAAAGCAGAAGTCCCGAAAGCCATAAAATTGCTGAACTCCAGGAAAGCAGCGGGACCAAATGGACTTCCGCCAGAAACACTGAAAATAGACGCAGGGACAACAGCGGCCATGCTCACACCACTACTGCAGAAGGTTTGGAAGGAAGGAAGGAAAAGTACCAGTTGACTGATTGTAAGAAGGACTATCTTTTCAAACTCCCAAACAAGGGAGAGCTAACTGTTCTCACGACCAAGAACTGGAGCCGAAACATGCTTCTGTCCACACCAAGCAAAACATTAAGCCACATCATCCTGGAGAGACAAAAAGATAAGCTGGATTCAAAATTAAGACTGGAACGTGTGTGGATGAAATCGCAACGCTACGCAACATCAAAGAACGGAGCGTAGAACGGCAGTCAACTCTCTAACTCAACTTCCTCGACTCTGAAAAGACCTTCCACAGCGCCAACCGAGATGTAATTTAGAAACTGCTCTAACACTACCGTTTTAGTGCCGATCATCTTCCTGATTGTGGTCAACTGGACAGGACTGAACTGAACTGGATCATACAACAGACAAGTGGGGGTAGCGAGAAGATGGGCATAGGCTGACTGGACCGATGTGATGATGAAAAGACCCCAGATGATTTGAATTCTCTCCATGATGATGATGATTTATGTCTAATGTCTTGTCTCACAAACTCGAAGATCTACACATCTCAAAACTAACAAGTTGGGAGAAGAGGTGGGACGAGGCGAGACGAGGCGAGGTGAGGCAGCGAATGAAGATGGAACTATCTTCAAGTGAGTGTAGAGAAGACAGAGGTGATGAAGATAGCCAACCGACCACTGCAACAACCAACAACAACAACGACAACAAGAAGCAGCGATCATCATCAATGGGAGAAGTCTGAAGGGAGTAGTCTCTTTCACCCACTCACCTACCTACCTACCTAGGCAGCATCGTTTCAACTACAGGCCGCGGTGGCGTCACAGATGAGTATGTCAAAGGCAGGATTGGAAAGACAGCGAGACAGGCCATCCTTCATTAATCTGAAATCAGTGTGGAGATCTACTGCACTCAGCATAAACAGTGAACGATATCCGGATTTTCAACACTGATGCCAGTCAAGTGAGTCAGTGCTTCTGTGTGATGGTTGAGGGACTGATTTGGCACGTTATGAAAGTTATTTGCTACAAACTACAGACATTGATCAACAGCTGCCTCCTATGCTGGGTTGATATTGAAGATCGATGAGATGGCCAGAATAATAAGAATAAGCAACAAAGAACTCTGGCTGACTGACTGACTGACTGACTGACTGACTGACTGGCAACTCACCGACCGAGAACCTATCGCCCAAAAAATATACAGAATAAAGTGGATATGGATTGGACTAGGAATACACTGAGAAGGCGGCCTGGGACATCACACGCCAGGCCCTTCAGTGAGGCCAAATAGGGAACGAGCAGTTGGGAGTACGAAGGTGACATGGAGGAGATGATGTGAGGAAGAAATGAAAGCTGGTGGGCATTGATGGAGCTAAGTTCAAAAGACCGCAGAGAAGAGAGTGAAATGGTGACGTGCTACTGAAGCCCTGTGTTCCACTAGGAATCCAAGGGACAATTAATAAAAAATCATAATTTTGATTTACCTATAGTTTTCAATGTACAGAAGATACCTATTAGGAAATGAAAGAATTAGAACAACGTTGGTGGGGGTGTTAGACAGAGGTAAAGGTGAGCTGATTGAAAATATCATTATTTAACAGATTGTTAATACGGATCACTTCGTCTTTCTATTTGAAGTGATCTATAAAGGGAAGAGAAACCTGCCAATGGTTGTATTTCTTAATATTCTTTGCGTCATGGAAGCACTTGTTACTTATTTGAAGAATCTTGAGCTTTATGCAGATCTCCTTAACGTTGCATTGTCTTCTTCTATAGTGTTTCAGACTACTTCTTTCTTCCTACTGATTATTGTCTTTATGGTCTTTGTGATCATGCTTGATTTTCCAAGTGGTTTCTCATGTTGCACCACTTCGTTTCGAACTTGGTAATATCTACGTAACTCATGTCACATTTTTACTAATCTTCACCGTTCATGTTTGTTGTTAGTATGTTTAATAAACCAGTGTCAACTGTTTGTAGAGTCAACGGGAAGCCTACATTTACCTCGATTTCGTACTTTGAAGTTACCAGACGAGTGATACATTCAGGTCACTATTAACCATCAAATAGCATATAAGTATTCACATAAATGATATACAAATTTACTATTGTACACTTTTTTTGAGAATGAAACCGCTAAAAAACATCTATTCACTGAAGTGTTTGTCCTTCTTTGGTTATACTTAGCACTTCTACAGAATGAAGTTCATTTTTGGACAATACTCATGTAGACATGATAGATGAAGCAAAGCAAATACTTTAAAGAAAGAGACCAACATGACAACCAATATGGTTCTTATGTTTCTCGCTTGATTGATTTAACCTCTTAAGATGGAATTCATTTTTGCGTTGATAACTACATGAATGGTACTTTGCATATTACCAGTAAGTATATCAATAATCTTGATGCTGAGGATATTTCTGTTGAAAGGTAGACACTTTCACCTATAAACCATAGTTATTTGATTACCATAGTTATTAAATTCAATATGTGATAATAAATTTACTAAAATTTATTTGAATTACCTTTGGACTTTCAAATAATCCATACATATCTTGACGTTCTTCAAAAAAAATTAAATTTTCATTTTCTGTTTTCCATGTTGATAAATAATTTAGTAAATATTCATTGTCTTCAAGACAGCGTTCTAAAAGGTGGGGAAAAAAAAAGGTTAATGTATAAAATGTAACAGTAAACATTTACTCAGTAATGTTGTGCATCTGTATGTAACAGTTGGTTAACAGCCACATCTATTGCTTAAGGAAGTGCTAGTAATACTACCTGACTGCCTAAACTACCGGTAGGTGAAATTGAATTGATGACTATAACTGACTAATTGTAAATCGATTGCTTAGATCAATCAGTGATCGATCCATATAATTATAGTTTTGAGTAATCTGTATACCTTATAAACAATCATATAAAACTTCGGTCAAGTAGATTTCATTTTCATTTCCAAATTTCTATGGAAAGTGAAATTCTTGTTAAGAAAATTGAAAAATTCATAGGATTAGATAGACGTTTTCATAGTATTTTCCTCCTAGTTTGGAACTTTCCAACAATATTCTCCCACAGTTTTATATGGATACAAATGTAGGATATACTCGTAATTCTCCGTTGTTTTACTAGATTGAATTGTTCAACCTCTGTTGGCACATAGGCTCCTATGTGGATATCTCGATATTGATTGAATGTTCTTTATGGTAATTTAAATGATTTTGGCCACCAAAGGAATCCGAGATGCGCATTTCGTCCCTTCTGGAACTCGTCAACTGGATATACCTACCTACCAATGAGTGTTATTCCCACTGAGACTCAAACCTCGTACGCATCACTTCAAACGTCAAGATGTTGTCCACTTCACCACTGAGGCACGCGCATCCTGAATTCCTCTGCTAGCCACAACCAAGTTAATTAGCATAACATTCAGGTGATATTGAGGCATGTGCATAAAATCCCATATAATAACTAATACCCATTGTACAAGAGGTGGCTATCGTGCCTCAGTGGCCTAGTGGGTAACGCTTTGGAGTTAAGAGCAGCGAGTTCGAGGTTCAAGTCTCGATAGGAACAACGTTACTCTGCACTGGGGTGTAGGTACATCCAGCTGGCGAGTCCGAAAAAGGATGAAATATGCATCCTGGACTCCTCTACTATCCATAGTCAAGTAAATTATCACTGTAAACAGTAAGTATGAGTACAAAAAATTCTGCATATAGCGTTTGAAATCAATCTTAAATGAGTGATGTCTTTCCAAGGAGGAAGTTAGTTCCAGAATAAAGAGTTTGCTACATAGTACTTGACTGAATAATAAGGAATCAGGTTATGCACTTCTTGTTACTATCAATATGATAACAGAAATACAAGTAGTTTACAAAACATAACAAAGGTATGATGTTCCATTGTGGCTTCATAATGAAACAAAAATCAGTTCGTGATAGTTGTTAATTACCCTTCTATTTTGAGTATCGTACTCAGTGTTCTAATAAAGTCTATTCTGGTATAAGCTATACTTGTCACCTATTTGAAGCTAGTTATAAAAACATTAGGAACCACTAGTTCACCCACTTCATAATGAGTAGATTTTAAAGCTATTCCTCACCAAAGAGTAAAACTGTTCAAACGAGGTTTAGCTAATGCATAGAGTAGTTAAGACATTGGTGAAAAGAAGAGATAATTTTGCGAAAAAAATTTTTATATTTCCCTTTTTAATTCATATCAGAATTTGAAAAGAACTCAGAATTTCATTTTCTCAATGTTTCATTGAAACGGAGATCGATTTACAAAAAGCAAGTACTCACAGCTCCATAGAAGACTTTATTTGTCAACGTTGGTTTCAGAAGTGATACGGTGATAGAGATCCTGAAAAATCAGCTATCGAAATCCCTAAAGAAGATGTGTTTCTCTGTAAAGCTACAGATCACCTACTCTGATCAGTAACTGTTGTTTAGTTCGCCAATACATTTATCACTTCAACTGCTCATGTGAAGCGAGTTACATTGAGTATACAATGAGGCAGTTCTATCGTCCAATTTCTGAGCATCACCCATGATGGTTGAACAAAGGACAAATTAGAACTATAAAGAGCTCCATACTTGCACGCTTAGTTGACACAAGACATCAAGTGGTTACTAGAAAAGTCTTCAAAATCATCTATCAGATTCCAATTAATTTACCACATGGGATTACGCACTCGCTTACTTCACATACTAGAGGCGATTGTAATCCACCTTCACAAACCTAGCCTTTGTATTCAAAAGAAGTCTGCTCGACCACTTTCATTACCGTGGCCGTCAACATGATGTAACTTCTAGGTTTACTTTATGCACCTGTTCCCCTTCTTGTTTCTATCAATATTCATTTAGTTTCTTAGTATTACGTAATCGCTTATTGTGAATGACTGAACACTCATTAGTGTCATTCCACTTACCGAAGAAAAGCTTGTTTCATGGTTCCAATTCTATTCATTATTTACATCATTATTTCCGAAACATCACCACGTGATTAGTAATTTGATTAAATTGTAAACCCACATATATTAGTGTAGAGTTCAAGATGAAGATCTAATTGAAAAGGTGTATATTTCTTCACTCAAATGGTATTTTTCTATTTAGAAGTTACCAATTTGGGCCACCTTAGTGTATATCTACAAATTTACTTGCTGATGTACAGCTAGTTATATAGGTCCAACAAGGCTCACATTTTCAAAACATATCTATGAGAACTATCATGTATGATTGGTCAAGAAGAAAATTTAGATCAGTTAACAGTTCAAATCTTGAACATTTAATCAACTCTGGACATAGATCTCTACTGGTGTCCTCCAGAGTTCAGTTTCATTTACACAGTCAAAGGGGATAATTCAAAAGGAGTACTTTTTCGATAACTTTGCATAGAGAAGTACTGATAATTCGTTTGTTTATGCTTAATCTTTCAGTGTAGAAGAATTAAATTCAACCACCTTCATTATGATCCTTATTTCATTCATCTTCTTTATATCTGTCAAGTGAACACTCAATTTATGCATTGAACATTGTCTAACAATTTTCATCATGTGAAACTTCTTGCCTTTCTCATTGCTTCCACTATCAGAAAGATTGTTATGCAGTTATTTTCCATTCTTGATTTCAGTTTTTAGTGTTAGCTTAATGATACAATTATGCAATTATTGAATAATACACTGTTCTATATTGTTGATATGTATAAATGAGACTGTATAGCTTTACGAAATGATATCATTGAAAAAGACAACTGAATTCATTGAACTATTTCTTCTTTTCTTCATGACATATTATTTTATTATATTATTAGTCCCTTGGGTTCCTAATGGAACATAGGGCTTCACTAGCACGTCTCCAGTGAACTCTGTTCGCCGAAATCTTTTGAACCTGGTTCCACGACAGCCCACAACCTCTCATTTCCTCCTCTTACGATCTCCTCCATATCACCCTCAACTCGGACGTCCAACTCGTCGCTTCCCATGGGGATTCCACTCGAGCAACTGGCCTGACGCGTGATGTCCCCAATCGGTCTTCTCAGTGCATGGCCAATCCATCTCCACTTCTTCCTGCATGTTTGTTGCGTGATAGGTTCTTGGTTGGTTGGTTCCCAGAGTTCCTTGTTGCTTATTCTTTCTGGCCATCTGAGCTTCAGTAGCGAGCCAGTGTAGGCAGTTGTTGATGAATATCTGTAGTTTATTGGAAATCCCTTCCGTAATGCACCAAGTCTCTGAACTATATAAAAGCACTGACTTGACTGGTGTTGGTGTTGAAAATCCGTATCTTGTTCCGCATGCTGAGTGCAGAAGATCTCCACACTGGTTTCAGGCTAATGAACGCCTGTCTTGCTTTTCCGATTCTGACTTTCACGTCCTCGTCCGTCCCGCCTGTAGTTGAAACAGTGCTTCCTAGATAAGTGAAGGAGGTTACTTCCTTTAAGTTTCTCCCGTTCATGGTGATTGGGGTTTGTTGTTGTTGTTGGTGGTGGTGGTGGTGCGGTATCTTCACCACTTCTGTCTTCTCTATATTCACTTGAAGTCCCGTCTTCGCAGCCCTGCCTCTTCTGTCAACTTGTAAGTTTTCGCTTGTAGATCTTCAAGTTTGTGTGACATTAGACACAAGTCATCGTTGGCGAAATCCAGATCTTCTAGGTTCTTTTCCGCAGTCCAGTGTATCCCCCTCTTCTCACAGCTCCCCACTGTTTGCTGCATGATCCAGTCTAGTCGACCACAATCAGGAATATCATGGGGGATAGTAGGCAACCTTGTTTCACTCCTGTCTTCACTTCACCCCAAAGGCATCACTGAGCGTTCCATTGTGAATTACTTGACATGTGGCATCTTCATATAGTTGTTGAATGAGGTGGATAAAGGTTTGCGGTACTCCGTAGTAACAAAGCAGCTTCCAAATTACCTCTCGGTCGACGCTGTCAAAGGCCTTCTCAAATTCGATAAAGTTGAGGTGGAGAGTTGACTGCCATTCTATACTCATGACATATTAAGAAACTGAATCTTCAAATGATAGCTTCAACAGTTTGGTCCTCTTTCTTCATATAAAACACTTAATATTATTTATTGACATACTTGTTATTCTCTATTGTTGTACTGGATCGAATTGTCCGGCCTCTGTTGACATATGGGCTTCTATGTGGATGCCCCGATATTGCCTAAATGTTAACTATGATAATTTGGTTGGTAGTGGCTGGCAGAAGAATCCAGGACGAGCGTCTCATGCTATGTGGGACTCGTTGGCTGGGTGTGCCTGGACCCCAGTGATCTTGTTTCCACTGAGACTCGAACCTCGTACCCGTCGCCTCAAACGCCAAGGCGTCATCTACTATGCCACGGAGGAACGATAACCACTTCTTGTACAACGGATACTAGTTATTAGTACTTATTGACATACTTGTTATTCTGAGTTGTTTTGTTGGATCGAATTGTTCAACCTCTATTGCCATACGGGTTCCAATGCGGATGCCTCGATATTGCATGAATGTTAACTATGATAATTTGGTTGGTTGTGGCCAGCAGAAGAATCTAGGATGCGTGTTTCATCCTATTTGGGACTCGAGGTTTCAGTCTCAGTGGGAACAACATCACTGGGATGCAGGTACATCCAGCTGACGAGTCCCAAACAAGATAAAACGCGCCTCCTGGATTCTTCTACTAGCCACAACCAACCAAATTATCATACAACACTTGATACCTGATGTAGTTTATACCTTTATGTTAGTAGATAGCTCATAAGTCGGCTTCAAGTGAAGTTCTAATTCATGTTCATCTTCCAAGTATTTATCACTGATTATTTGAATTCTGTGAATGGGATAAAACATTTCCTTTGTAAGGTAGATGGGATTAATCACCGTTGTTAGTCTATACAGGAGATTAAATGACCTAATTATTATTATCATTATTATTATTGTTATTTTCCACTTGGGTTCCTAGTGGAACATAGGGCCTCAGTAGCACGCCTCCATTCCACTCTCTTCTCTGCAGTCTTTTGGACCTCACTCCACGACTGCACACAACCTTCCATTTCTTCCTCACACCATCTCCTCCACGTCAACATCGCCTCAGATGCCCAACTCGTCATTTCCCCCGTCGGATTCCACTCGACGGTCTGGCCTGGCCTGACCTGACCTCACCTGACCTCACCTGATCTGGCCTAGTGCATGATGTCCCCAATCAGCCTTCTCAGTGTATGCCCAAACCAATCTATCTCCACTCTCTTCTGCATACACGTTGAATGATAACATGTTGGTTGATTCGTTCTCAGAGTGCCTGGTTGCTTATTCTTATTATTCTGTCCATTCGATGTGATCAGTATGTGTGTTCAGTATGAAGTGAGTGTAGGCAGTAGCTGTTCATGGTGTATGTCTGTAGTTTGTTGCAAGTGCTTTGCGTGACACGCCAAGTCAGTCTCTCAACCATCACATAGAAGCACTGACTCATTTGACTGACATTAGTGTTGAAAATCCGGATCTTGTTCACCCTTATGATGAGTGCAGTAGGTCTCCACAGTGATTTTAGACTGATGAAAGCCTGTCTTGCTGTCTTTCTAATCCTGATTTTGACATCCTCATCTGTGCCATTGCCTGTAGCTGAATGATCTGATTTTACTGAATCCTTTTGTGAATGACTTCAGTACAAAAATTGAACCAGTTATGTAGTGCTTATTCATCATCCTTTCACGTATACGCCATACTTCAGAAAACTTCACGATAAGTTCAGAAGTTCCCTAGTTTAAAATCTTCAAAATTCAACTAGTCACAATCATTGGCTAGATTTCCTCTGTATATTCATGTTAGTGATAGTGTCTTGTAGTGTAACAGCTAAACAGTAAAAACATTCAGTTATCTATAAAGGTTACGATTAATTTACCGAATATGGCGGGTTTTTTTTCTTGCTTTTGCAGATTAGACTCGTTCAGTGTTGATTGCAGGTAGTTTATTAATTGACAATGATCATTATTCAGGATATTTTCAATTGTTAATAGACGATCTTTCCAAATTAACTCATTTAGGCTTCAACTAACAACCTTTTATCAAACTATGCGCATTACTGATTGTTAAAAATCAGGCAGGTATGCATTTTTGATGAATTTTCAAAAATTATATTCAGATAATTTCTTTTTCACTTTTCGCTCATTTGTTCGCCTAAAAGTTAAGTTATAGAAAAATACCAACTATTCTACTCACTCTCCTCAAGTTAAAAGTATCACTGGCCAATTCGTGAGCATTTTCGAGGCAATGATTATCTTATCTATATTAGTGGTGGATAACGGCTGGTAGTGAAATCCCTGTACAAGTGTTTCGTCCTACCTGGAACTCATCAACCGGATACACTTGTCTCCCAGTGAGTACTGTTCCCATTAGGGCTCGGGAAGCATGGCTCATTGGGAGGTACATCCAGCTGATGAGTCGCAAATAAAGTGAAACACGCATCATATATTTTATTGCTAGTGACTATCGATCAATAATACATAATTCGAACACAGACAATATCGGGACATCCATGTAGGAGCCCATATGCTAATAGAAACCGACCAATTCGGTCCAATCAACGATGGGATAATACAACAAACAACGTCAATGGTTGTATTTTCTACAAAATCTCTGTCTGTATGTTAGGTGGATAAAGGTAATCAGTAGCAAGCCCCGTTTGACCTAGGTTTCCTGGCTTTTGGCACTTGTCAGCAGGGTGTATCTGTAACCTCGATGGGAGTGATGACCAGCCTGAGATTCTAAACCTCACTATCGAGTGCTACAGTCAGAGAGATATTTAGGTTGCGATTGGCTTCCTTTAGGACGGATAAGATACATTGACTGGTTACCGGAGGGTAACCAACTTCATATTGTCTAGTCCCATTCGCTGATCGAATTCCACCAATCAGTTTTTGGTATTTCGTAGACGGAATGATAGTCGCTGAGTAGAAAAATAACTGACTAGTTTATGTATCAGTACCTCATGTTTGAATATCTTATCCGTTGATACAAGCAGGCGTTGAACTGATAAACTACTGCCAGACGTATCCGGTCATATCTCAGTACTCTTCGTTCAAACTTCCAAAAGATGTACGTATAGTCAAAACATTTACTTATCGTTTCTTTTCCTGCTTTCATTTTCGCCACAATTAGGGGAGAAGTACAGTGTCACTATTATCAAATCGTCTCCCTACACAGTTCTATGAGATGCTATAAGTCAAAGTTCCAACTGATAACACTAGTTCTATTCTCCTGCTGACATTCACTGGCATGAATATCGACATACAAATAATTATTGTTCTTCTTGACAATTCTTGAAGGGTATCCTTTTACAAAGTTGAAACTGGCAACAGTAATGATATTTCAAAATTTCATAGCTACATCATTGTCACTTTTTATTATTTCTCCCTTGGGTTCCTAGTGGATCATACCGCTTCAGAAGCACTCCTCCATTCCGCTCTCTTCTCTGCAGTCTTTTGGACCTCACTCCACGACTACACACAATCTTTCATTTCTTCCTCACACCATCTCCTCCATGTCAACATCGCCTCAGATGCCCAACTCGTCGTTTCCCCCGTCGGGTTTCACTCAACGGTCTGGCCTGGCCTGACCTGACCTCACCTGACCTCACCTGATCTGGCCTAGTGCATGATGTCCCCAATCAGCCTTCTCAGTGTATGCCCAAACCAATCTATCTCCACTCTCTTCTGCATACACGTTGAATGATAACATGTTGGTTGATTCGTTCCCAGAGTGCCTTGTTGCCTCTTATTATAATTCTGGCTATCTGATCTGTCTTCAGTATGAAGTGAGTGTAGGCAGTAGCTGTTCATGATGTATGTCTGTAGTTTGTTGGAAATGCTTTTCGTAACGCGCCAAGTTTCTGAACCATATAGCAGCACTGACTTGACGTTGGTGCTAAAAATCCGGACCTTATTCATGCTTTATGATGAGTGTAGTAGATCTCCACACTGGTTTCAGGCTAATGAAGGCTTGTCTCGCTGTCTTTCCAATCCCGTCTTTGACATCCTCGTCTGTGCTGCCTGTAGTTGAAACGATGCTGCCTAGGTAGGTGAAAGAAACTGCCTATGAAACAGAAAATACTAATGAAGTTGTTCGTCTGAGTTATACAGCAACGTTAGTCGATAGAGTTCACTGTTAAACACGCTACAGAGGTGTCTGTCAGTGACAGATAAAGCCTGATTACTCAGCTTTACATAAAGTTATTGCATACCATCCTAAATAGGAGTTTGTTATCAATACAAAATGATGCTTTCTCAGGTCTTCGACAAAACATGAGTTTTTTCATGATCATAGGCTTTACACTACTTATAAGTGCCAATAAAGTTGAAACCTTGGTGCAGAGCCTCAAACTGATTCACTTTTGACGTTCAACATGAAGATATGGTACACGACAGTTTTGCATTATTCAGCTTACCGGTCACACTGCAGACGTGAATGATGAACTTCAATCAGTGCTGACCACTTGAAGGTTGACAGCTGGATCAATTCTCATCTGACAAACAATTTGTGTAAAGTCCTGTTTAGTACATCTAACTAAAAGTGATATTCAGTTATGACATAGTCAGCTCTTACTTTGTTATAAGTTAATTCATTAAAATCGAAGCCAAAACTTTAAGAAAAACAATAATCACTGTGTAAAAATAAAATAACTGAACAATTAGAATGTTGTTCACTCACCTAATTGTAAAACAGGAATTTTTTCCACTAGAGCATGTCGCATATTGAGAAGTTTTTGACTTGAACCAGTTAAACTTTGTAAAGTTTGCAGTACAGTTGTTGTATTATTTACAGATACAAATCTACTTGTACGATCCGGTAGGTAGATTTTTAGGCTAAGCTTTATTCACACAGACAAGAGGAAATATAATCGACTAAGTTTATAATAGTGAAATGAATTGAGATTATACTATTCGATTATGTAGTTAACAAACTTTAAATAAATAAGAAAATGTTTACTTTCTGTCTGCTTGATTGGTTATACTTTTTTAATTAGAGTTTGATGTCTCTGTGACCTGCTTGACAGACAGTAATCCTGGATTCCGCTGCTAACCACTATACATCATGAATACATGATTCAAACACAGGCAGTATCTAAGCATCCATGCAAGAACCTATACAACAAAAGAGACCGATCAAATTTGCTCCAGCCAACGACGGAATAATACAAGAAACAACATTAAAACCATACCCATCACACAAGAAGTGGCTATCGTGACTCAGTAGCCTAGTGAATAACGCTATAACATTTCAAATGATTGGTCCTGAGTTGAAGTCTTCATTGGAACAACATCTGTCTCTTTGGGAAGCAGGTATATCTAGCAGACAAGTCCCAAACAGGACAAAACGTGCATTTTGGATCTCGCTGCTAGCGACTGTCGGGCATCAATGCCAATCGCCATCAACGGGAGAAATCTAAAGGAATTTGTCTCTTTCACCCACCTACCTACCTAGGCAGCATCGTTTCAACCACAGTCGTCATAGGTGAGGACGTCGAATCCGGGATCGGAAAAGCAAGATAGGCCTTCATTATTCTAAAATCAGTGTGGAGATCTACTGTACTGCACTTCACTTCACTTCACTCAGCACAAAGCGTGAACAAGATAACGATTTTCAACACTCATGTCAATAAACCCAGTGCTTCTATGTGATGTTTGAGAGACTTGGCGCTTTACGAAACGCATTTCCAACAATTTGCAGGCATACATCATGAACAGCTGCCACCTACGTTCACGCGATACTGAAGATAGATCAGATAGCCAGAATAATAATCAGAAGCAACAGGGAACTCTGGCTGGCAACGAACCAACCAACAACCTACCGCCCAACAAATATGCAGAAGGAAGTGGAGATGGATTGAATGCAACATACAATGAGAAGACGGTTTGGGGACATCGCGTGCCAGGCCAGTTCAGTCTTTTGGAGTGAAGGTCAAATGGGAAACGACGAGTTGGGCGTTCGAGGCGAGAAGGACATGGGGGAGATGATGTGAGGAAGAAATTAAAGCTGTGGGCAGTGGTAGAGCCAGGTTAAAAATACTGCAGTGAAGAGAGTGAAATGGTGACGTACTACTGAAGCGCTATGATCCACTAGGAACGCAAAGAACAAATAATAAATTATAATAATCCATCGTTAATAGTAATTTCCTCATTAACTGTTTCACTGTAGTCTTTTGGATACTAATGAACGCTGAGTCCATACTTAATTGTTCAGTTTCATCTGTCCATTGAACCTCCTTGATATTCAAGTAAGTATTTGAGCTGATACATGGGTTCGTGCATTTTATTTATTGCTGTAAGAGTCACAGCAGCAATTTCTTGGTTATGTGTTGTATATCTTTTTCGGAAACTATATAATAACCTTTAAACTTACATCATTTTCCTATAGGAAACCAAAATAGCCTCCTTTGTTGAGTTTCTCTCAGTGTTAACTAAATAGACACTATCAATTAATTAGTTCCCCATCAGATGATGTTCAGAATGGAACTCATGAATATAAACTCCAAGTGTAACCTGGAGTACGTTTGCTTGCTTCTGAGAAACTGGCCTCCTTCCTGAGCAGTAAACATTATTGCTGTGGTTCACACATGAAAACAAGCATTTATACCACAGCACTCTGTTAACGTCCACTGAAAACTATGTGCCAACCCAATCCAACAAAGTATCGGGCTTTAGTGCATCTATATTCACCAAGTAATCGAAATGATACAGCCGACCTCTCCTCTCCGTAGGTCAGCGTAAGCTGGGCGTTTCTCTTTGATGGTTTGGTGCTGTGAAAGAGTAATGCAACCCTTCCTTCCAGAATTAGGAAGACTGCTTACTGCCCATTGGGTGATATGGTTCAGATTAACCCATACAGCTAGGGTTAACAATGTTGGACTTCGGGCCAAGTAGTAGTTCACTTACCACAGGGTTGAGTCAACACCGCTCTCTTTAGACGTTTAGCCACCGTGACATTTTGGACTGGAATTTGAATCCCCTTACCTTTCGCTTGAGCTGCCCTCGGCAAACTTTGCAAAATCCTGACGGCCTGCCAAACTGTTTATGCTTTAGAGACTTGTATCAGTGATATTATGCAACTAGATCTTTTCAAACATGGTTTTCGCTAAGTTTACAGAAGACTGGTTAATTTATTCAGTTGGATACCTAGGAGCCTCATTATCGTTCACAGTCGGGCTCCTCCCATAATGCACGGGTTTTATAAGCGAGCAAAACAAACCTAACACCAATTAAGTATTTCATGTAGAGCTTTTTTGCATTGAAGCCTTGAAACGTAACTACTGAATAATTTTAAACCGCTTACAGAGTCACGACAACTTTTTCACAAAGACCACTTTATTAATATCATCCTCAAAGTTCGTTACTGCTCTTAGAGTATTAATGAAACCATTTTGAAAAAAATTTGAACGTTGTTTAATGGTTTCTGCAGTCTCACCTACATCTGTGTTACCTTTCTTCTTGAGCAAAATATGTTCGTTCTCCAACTTTGGGAAAGTACATTCTGAAAGTAGCCTAGTATGCTTTCAACTTCGGTATTATATTACCTCAAGACATAGTTCACCTCTACAAGAAAATAGTTCTGTTAATATCACCTAGCCTGGTAATATATCATATACGATCAAACACCTTATTCTGCAGAAGATTAGGCCTTTGTAAGTTTAATCCCAAGGTGCAAGTCTTGGTTATATTCTGTTTTCTGATCTGGGTTGTTTAGTCATGAAGTTGTCATCGTCTTGCTAGACAATATCATCAGCACTAACTCCAGTATGAAGTGAGTTGTCAATATCTCTGCATAAGTGATTTAGTTGTTTGACCTGACCAACTGCTTTGTGATCGGTTGTTTCCACTGATTGTTGTGTCAGTGACTGTATAGATTTCCTTGTTGGTAGATGCTATGCTTCACCTCTAACCTTTCTGCTGTTTATCAATATTCTCATTGGTTGATAGATTGAGTGTATATCTGTACATGTGTCTATTGATTGCTGACTGACTGACTGTCTGACTGGCTGACTGCCTGACTGACTGCCTGACTGATGTGAATGTCAAGTGTCTAGGAATTCTCTGATATTCTTTGTGTTTTGTCTGTCCGAGATATCTGTCTACATTGTCGAAATTGAATTCATGTGCATAGTTGTTATCCAGTTGGATTGAAATGAGTGGTGAAATGTCGTGACGTTTAATGGCCACATGGTGTTCATGTAGATGAAGGCGAAGAGGGTCACCACTTTTTCTAATGTAGTGTTGGCTACAGTTATTACAGTTGATTTTGTAAATGAAATTCGGTTTGTCTTCTTTGGTTGTTGCATCGTTTGGTTTGCATAATAGTGTTTGGGGGAATTTGTTGGTTTATGAGCCACACCAATTCCACCAAGTGGTCTGACTTATCTTGTCATGATTTTTAATGATGTCATCTAGAAAGACGACGAAAACTCTACGAATAAACAACCCACCTCAGAGAACACAATACAATCAAGACAATCCACCTAAGCCACAAATATTCTCCACTATTTCAAGGTACAAGTCTACTTTAGATCGAAGTACTTTGATTGCAATGCTGTGATGCAAAATTGAATAAGGATAATCTTTGCTTACTGGAGACATTCTATTCGATAATAGATCTTTTTCATGCATTACTGTTTATAGTATCATATTTGATGACAAATAAACGGATATAAATCAACTTCCAGTTGTCCTATTGGATGAAAGATTACACAATAAAGTGGAAGAAAACTGATACGACTATTTATCTAAGATATACACAACAGATTAAAGAAATAAAACAACATACAAGTCAATAATAAATGTACCTAATCCCTTCGAATGCATTCGTGTTCCGTATGAAATATAAGAGTAAACGTTTTATTTAAAAGTGTAATCACGCGGAAATATATCCTTTTCACCTATTACTATTAAAGTAATATTATGTTTATAAAATCTGAAAATTTGAGCATAGATAATTGTTATGAAGCATTGATCATTCAACTGATTGTTTAGAATACTCACAAAAATTCTGTTGGTTTTTAAAAGTAGTTTAAAAGTGACATTATCATATGCTATAAAATAGTTTGTTATGGGAAAATGGAAATTCTAGAGATATTACCTTCTGATTAAGACTTATCTTCCAGTAACTTCAAATGAAGCTTGATGTATTAGATACAAACCAAAGTGTATTCAACAACCATGTACACATTTGTACAATAAGCAATGAGCTACACCAGCTAATGATACTACCTGGCGGCTACCATTAACCTTAGTAGGGGGAATGAGGTTCAAACTTATGACCCAATGATTCAAAGTCAAACCACCAACTTAAAATCATTTAATCACATATGTTCAGAACTTATTTGCACTATATCTCCTGGTTTACTTATTTTTTTCCTCAGAATGGTCTTTTTTTCTGGAGTGAATGCAAAACTACAAGACAGTAACGCAAATTATACTTATTCCATATAAATAACTTTTTCTCTAAGTCTCAGAAAACATTTTGGACAGAAGTAGGAATAAAAGTTTAGGTTGTATAGAACCTAATGACAACGTATCAGCTTCATTACTCAAAAATTTACACTGACTTCTAAAAATCTTTTAAATATACTCTGTAACATACATTTGGTCCACTGGATTGATTTCTGTCGATGAATCTGTCAGCTTCCGTTTGCCATGGAGATCCTCTTATAGGAGTTGGTGAGAAATGTTTAGTGTACATAGGTATATGAGATGTAGTTGATGAATTCGAAGAAATCATGTTTTCTAATCCATATACTGATGAACATGTTGACCTTCTAGCCACAGAATAATCAACAGTATTCTTGTTGTTATCTTTCGTATCAGAACTGTTGATGGTTGTGTTTACAGGAGTCTGCTTAGGAGGTAATTTAGGTTGACCATCATGTGGTCTTGAAGGTCTTATTGTACTTGACAATAAGTTTATACTGGTTGTAACCGGCTTATTATTTAGTTCGTTTTGTTTAAACAAGTAGGTGTATAAACTTTGACTTCTAGGAATCTGGTTGGATGCATTTGGAGAAACAGATGATGAAGATGATAGCTTTCGGAGAATTTCATTGACAGGTTTTGTATGTGATGGAAGATATGAAGTATTAGGAACAACTGATTCATCTTCTGTAATATTCTTTTAAACATAAAAAAGAAACAATTAACTAGCAAATTTTATGTTAAACTTATTTGCATAGTTAGCAAACAATTCATACCTCGAGTAGAAAAGTCTTCAAAACGAATAGTTTCATGATTTAACTTTGTAAGTCTCTGTGGATTGATTGACTTCTAATTTGTATTCATCACAGACTGACAACAGTTGGAGAACTATTCGAAATCTATGAGCACTGAACAGCCGTTTTGTCCTAGCATCAGACTGCTGAGTAATACGCATCCATAACCGCATCAACGACTAAACCCAGGACAATCAGTTTCCATGGCAATCCTGTTATCATTGAGTCACTAGGTCAGAAGTCAGTGATCCTTATTTGCGTATTTCTGTCAGTTCATCAAGCGCTATTTCTGGGCACCGTTCTCACCTCCTCACGTCTCACAAGAACTGACTCCCCGCAGAAACTTAAGGTCCTAGTTTCGACGACTGATGGGGTCATGAGTCCACACTGCTGAGCAGTCTCATACTAGGAAAACACATACCTGTTCACTTATCCCAAGTTTTCGATGGTTCTCTAGCCAACTAACACATTAGAAGGGAATCTGTTAAGTGTAGTATCCAACTTGATTCCCACACAGAATGAAATAAAACTTTTTGCTCAAACGCTTACTGATGGCATACCTGTAATATATGTTTTTAATTTAATTGGTAATCTATAATTTTAACGTTTTAGAGAATATAACGCAATATGGCCTGGTGGATAGCTCTCTGGCGTTTAAATCGACGAATTTTGTGTCCAATTATCAATAAGGACAGAGTCATTCACTTAGATACAGGTACATCCAGTCAATAAGTCCCAAAAAGAATGAAATAGGTGTGCTGGATTCCACTGCTAGCCACCGAGTAGATGACAAGTTAAGGTGATATAAATTCTAAAATAATGATTTCATATGTTATTTGGAATCTGTACTGTACAAAATTAGTTGCGTATACGATTTATTTATAACAGTACAGACTTACATGCATTGAAATGCATCTCATGATAAGGTATGCAGAAAAACAAACATTATCTGTGGTTGTCCTTAAAAATCATAATTCTTTTGCACATGATTTGCGTTTAAATAAATGCAGATTAATGAACTTTTAAAAGATAAAATAAACTCTTTACATACTCTTAGTCTCTTGATATTGTTTCAGATAACTGTGATTCTAAAACTAGGCTTCTATGTACTAATAAAGGTAGTAGCTTAGCAAGTTAGTAAGTAAATCAACGTTAGCCTAGCAGCAAGATCCAGGACGTGGGTTTCGAACTACTTGGGAACTGTTAACCAGATATACCTGCTTTCCAATGAATGAAATTGTTACCACTAAGACTAGGATTATTCAACAGTTGCTTCAAACATCAGAGTGTTATCCACTAGGCCGCAGATTTATGACAGCCACTCCTTGTAGGCGGCAGTTACATCCGCCTTGCGAGCCTGAAATAGGATGAAAGGTGTTTTCTGGATTCAGTTACTATGCCCTATTCATCGTTATTATCGAAACTGAGAATACTGGCAAGATTCAGGCGTCTGCATAGAAACCTATATGCCATTAATGATCGATTAATTCGGTTCAGTCAACGACTGGAACAAAGAACTGTGATCAACCTCGGACCAGGCATTACTACGTAACCGTCCGACTTGCCACACCTCATATCACCACATCAAGTAAAAAGCCAGTGAGGCACAAGATGAAGATAAGGAAATGCAGTCAAGAGAGACATAAAGTATGAAAAGAGAGAAAAGGAGAATGAGAAAGTGGTGAGATTCGGTATAGCTTCGTTAAGATGAGGATAATGTATGTATACATCTGCGCCACTGACATCGGTTCTGAGCTATATCAACTAGAGTCTCCAACGACTGGCTCCTCTTGTCCCACGGACCCCAACCGGCAAGTCTGCATCGCCTGACATGGCTCAAATCAACAGTCAGAGACTTCATACATTGGTGTCATGTCTTAGTCTGGCCACCTCGGGCCTTTTTCCAGACTGAACCTACTTCAGCCAACATTGCGTGACAAGGCAATCAACGACGGAGGTTGACAAGCAATGACATCAAAACTACGTTAAGCATATTGACCAACAGGAACTCAAATATTCAGTTTGAATTAGATCTGAAAAATGTTTGTGAATAACATATTTTTACTGGGTGATGACTGAAAGTGCAATAAAAGTTTGGACCGCGGCTGGATTCGAACCAGTGACCACCCGGTTTCTGGCCCAATGCTCTAACAATGGAGCTACGAAACCTGACTACTATTACTTGATGACACTCACACTGGGTTGCCTGGTCAGGACTTCTCATTCTAATCCAAATCTAACTGAATTAGAGGGGGGGCATCATATTGATGATCATTTTTGACTAAGACGATCAAAATAATAACATCTTTTGCATCAAAATACCAATTAGTTGAGTGGGCGGAGGTGGGGGGGGGGGGAAAGAAGTGATTAATAGTAATAATGGGTTTTAAGCAGGTCAAGAGCAAAAGGAATCTGAGAAATCAAAACGCAACTCATCAAAAGAGTAATTATACTGGATTAAAAATAGTAATTATAATGATGTGAAACAGGTCATTCTATGATAAATTGCATAATAAATTTGTAGGGCAAATCGAGTGCTTTTTCGGATGGGTCAATTATAAACGAAGCAAAGGTTTATTGACAGAACATAAGGAGTAGAGGGATACAACGTAATACTAGAAGTCAAATCATGTTGACGGCCAAAGTAATGCAACCGGTTGAATAAATTTCTTTTGAATACAAAGGTTAAGTTTGTAAAGATGCATAGCAGTCGCTTCGACTGTGTAAAGTGAATGAATGCATGTAATAAATACTCTTAGATGCTTCACTAAGATCCACTTAATGTCTGGTGTCAACTAAGTATGCAGGTTTGCAACCCTTCATTGCTCCGATCTGTCGTTTATTCAGGTATGATGGGTGGTGCACCTGCCTCATCGTACGCGCTGACTATTTCTATACGAGAAGTTTAACTAATAGATAAAAATGAAAGGGGTAGAATTTTTTTCTTAGCACACAAGGTGAGTTTGTTTAGATGAATCCCAATGACTTCTGCTATAGGTGGGAAACTAATTCACCAATCATAAATTATTATTGGGTTCCTAGTGGAACATAGGGCTTCAATAGCACGCCTCCATTCCACTCTCTTCTCTACAGTCTTTTGGACCTCACTCCACGACTACACACAATCTTTCATTTCTTCCTCACACCATCTCCTCCATGTCAACATCGCCTCAGATGCCCAACTCGTCGTTTCCCCCGTCGGGTTTCACTCGACGGTCTGGCCTGGCCTGACCTGACCTCACCTGACCTCACCTGATCTGGCCTAGTGCATGATGTCCCCAATCAGCCTTCTCAGTGTATGCCCAAACCAATCTATCTCCACTCTCTTCTGCATACACGTTGAATGATAACATGTTGGTTGATTCGTTCTCAGAGTGCCTGGTTGCTTATTCTTATTATTCTGTCCATTCGATGTGATCAGTATGTGTGTTCAGTATGGAGTGAGAGTAGGTGGCAGCTGTTGACCAATGTCTGTAGTTTGTTGGAAGTGCTTTACGTGACACGCCAAGTCAGTCTCTCAACCATCACATAGAAGCACTGACTCAGTTGATTGACATTAGTGTTGAAAATACGGATCTTGTTCACCCTTATGATGAGTGCAGTAGGTCTTCACAGTGATTTTAGACTGATGAAAGCCTGTCTTGCTGTCTTTCTAATCCTGGTTTTGACATCCTCAACTGTGCCTGTGCTGCCTGTAGTTGAAACGATGCTGCCTAGGTAGTTAAGTGAAAGAGAAATTCACCAATCATGAGTGAATTTAAAATCTTTAGGTTTATCTTTTATCCAAGAAGTCAGTACCGGTACTTAGGCTATTTATTACAATTTCTCTGATGATGTTACTCCAAAACTGTAGTTTTATGAACAGAGATTACTTGGAAGCTGTTGATATTCCGATTTTCGTGTAAGATGAATCTATAGGCTTAACTAAGATCTTTTGTGTATATCCATTACTATGGATTTCTCATCGAGTTTTTCATAGAAAGTGCTATCTAACCAGATAACTTTTATCACGTCAACTACACACTTTACTAAGATAATAAACTCTTTTTTGTGTTAGAAATTACTTTCAGTAAGATAGAGTTTAATGACTGATGAACTTCTCCTCAAGGATATGAAGTAAAAAAAAATTGTGAACCCTCCTAAGATGACCCTAATGTACTTCACTTCAACAAAACGAATATTGACAGTTTTTCAGGCAGAAAGTTTATTTAACCTCATGTTGCTCTGGTAACTGGATTTAATTTTTCACATCATTTGAAGGGGTAAGTAATTCCTTCATAAGCTTTCTGATTACCTTATCTATATGTGAGTTCTTTTTCTTGGAGATATGGTTAGTATCAGTTCTCTTTTGTTGAAGCGTTTTCCTTTTCCTTATCAACCTTAGGATATTTCATGATATTAAACCGCTTCAAAATGATTTCATATCCTATATTCTTTCAATTCACTGGTTAACTCTGTTCTTTGTGATTCCTTCTGACGATGTATACCTGAAGTACTTCGAAGCTACAGCATGACCACCACTGGTTTCGGTTCTGATGCATATCTGCCAATGCCTCAAGCCACTGAGCTACTTGATCTCTCGGACCCTACCCAGAGAGTCGTGATATGCCAACAGGTGTAAACCCAATACAACTATCGTTCATCCCACGACACTACATCACAAACTGGCCAATCCTCCACTCCTTCTACCCAGTTTCAGGGTGTGAAACCGTTGCGACGACGTGTGTAAAACATGTCCAAGCCACCAAAGCCATGGTTTTCAGATGACTTCACTTACTGAATGACAACCTCCATCATAACCGAACACACTCTATCGTATCCCAGAATTACTTCCATGGTGTTGCCATCGGATTCGAGCAATCCTAAGGAGACAACTATCATCGAACACACATAGTCGTCTCATATCCTCAGCTCAATGAGGCCAGGTTTCTCAGGTTCAGAGCAGAACTACTCGCACCGGAGCGTTGTAAACCTGACCTATTACGGTCAGACTAACGTAACGAAGATGCGAAAGGTTACCCACTCAGGCTTTCGATATACAGTTGGAGATTTTACCACTCACACCTCCAAGAACACACGTACAACTACCCAGATACACGAACTTTTCGAGTACTTCCAATGGTTCACCACCGAGGGTGAGCTGAGGTACAGGGCCTTCCAATCTTGTTAAAGTAATATGCACTTCAGTTGTGCAAAGTACATACTATACTTTCGGACACTGATCGCCAACTGATTGAGTACGACTTGAGTAGCCTGTGAGTTATCTCACAGTTAGACGATATCGTCCATATGTTCAAGATGAAATTGCTGTTCTCACTCAAATCTAATAAAACACATTTTTATCAGAGAGCAATAAAAGAAGCGGATTTGAGTATATAGTTCTCAGGTGATGTAATGTAAATGATGCATTGTTCCTGGAGTCTACGGTTGAAATAACAAGCCATTACGAAATATGGCAAAGAAAGAACAGTTTTAAGGACAAAAAAATAAAGTACAATTGATTGGTAATTGGTTAAGTTTCATTGCTATTGGTAAACAAAAAAAAGTATATAAAGAGAGAAAAATCAATACTGTTCATATTTTTCTACTAGAGGTATTACAATTGAAAAGTTAGTTTTCAATCCATCATTTAATATTCCCTAAGTGGGTAATTTTTATTTGTTAAGTTTCATTGTTTGCTGATTACCTTAAGAGTATTTTTACGTTAGCGGCGTACTTAGTTGGTCATAAAATATGAGGCTATCATAGTGGTGATACTATTTGATTATCGAAGAAGGAGAGTTTGGAATCTCTTCATCACTAGTTGATTTCGATGCATATCTATGTGAGGTTTCACTTCAGTCATTTGGGTAGAATTTTCCAGGACAAGTGTTCTATAGATAAGATATCTAGCTAGAAATACATTTATCTCTCAAAGTAGTATTCATCGCCGACTGACATCAGTTGGAAAACTATTGAAAGCCTGCAATCACTGGACAACTGTTTCTTCTTCAGCAATATGCATCCATAACCCTACTGGGTGTCGCCTCCAGCGCATTCAAGTTCCACAGCGGGCAAGCTTTAAAGGTTGGTCATGACCGATGGGTCAAACAAAGTCGGAACTGATGGCAACTACTCAACAACGCCGTTGAATGGAGACAGTGCATTTTCACCAATTGTGGGATTAAGAAAATATGGATCAGTAGATTCCTACCCCAGTGACTCAATGGTTATATGCTTACCATGAAACCTAAAAATCTTTCGTTTGAGCCCTGACAAGATCACAGGTGTGAAATGCTGAGGAGCTCCTTAGTGAGACGAAGCAGCAGTTCAGGGCTTACAAGTTTTTAATGGTTCCCCAAATAATATAAACCCATGATGAATACAACCTTGAAATAAATAAAAACGCTCAATAAACCTCAAACTGAATTACAATTATCTCTATTTATTTATGGGGATCTCTTCTGATCTTTAACTTAGTACAGTCTTAAAACAGACTGTGTTCAAAACCTGTTGGGTGAAACTAATACACTCTGAGCTGTTTTTCGACCCAGATTCTCATGAAGAACAAATCTTTTTCACTTACCTTAATTTATTAGTGTGATATAAAAGAGTTGATCGCAACTCCCACCTCCATTGTTAGTGTAGCGACCGATGAAGAAGAGTTCATAAACAATATCTTGCAACCAATAATCCTTTTATTATTTTCGTGTATTATTTAGCTTAATCAATATAAAACCAGAAAAGATACCGTATATCTCCTGAGCTATTCAACGTGGGATGAAAACCTTTCAAACGTGAATTTATTTATTCCATAGTACATTCTTCGATTACATGTAAAACATACAGTGATACAGTATAAATTACTTCATGATGTTTCAAATATGAATTATCATTGACCAGTATCATAAAACTGTGATCACACCAATTTTGACATCCAACATTTATAGTTCTAATAGCACAAATGAATCACTCCGTTTGTCTTCCCCTACATGAACACCATGTGGCCATTAAACGTCACGACATTTCACCACTCATTTCAATCCAACTGGATAACAACTATGCACATGAATTCAATTTCGACAATGTAGACAGATATCTCGGACAGACAAAACACAAAGAATATCTGAGAATTCCTAGACACTTGACATTCACATCAGTCAGTCAGGCAGTCAGCCAGTCAGACAGTCAGTCAGTCAGCAATCAATAGACACATGTACAGATATACACTCAATCTATCAACCAATGAGAATATTGATAAACAGCAGAAAGGTTAGAGGTGAAGCATAGCATCTACCAACAAGGAAATCTATACAGTCACTGACACAACAATCAGTGGAAACAACCGATCACAAAGCAGTTGGTCAGGTCAAACAACTAAATCACTTATGCAGAGATATTGACAACTCACTTCATACTGGAGTTAGTGCTGATGATATTGTCTAGCAAGACGATGACAACTTCATGACTAAACAATCCAGATCACACAACACAACACAACCAACATCACTCATCTGAAATACAAATATTCTCCAACATTTCAGAATTCATCTCCATGTCACATTAGTCAATTTGATATATATGGTACACAGTAATCTAATATTTATTCACTTGATGATATTGCGAGCATAAATTATCATTGCTCATATCAATATCACTGTAATCACACCACATTCGACATCTAATTTTTACAATCCTGTCACCTCTCATTGTTTGTTTCTCTTGGTAGTGAAATATTCCACATCTCTGGTATACAAATATCGCGTCATTCCCGTAACATGTGTTGCGTGTTGGTTGGATGAACAAAGACTATTCAGTAATCAAGCTCTCCACCTCTCCACATAATTATATTGGACTCGAGTAGAGTGGTTTTATCCCACCCTATTATGTAGTTGTCTGCCAACACATCCATTACAATAACCACGTCTTCTTCTAGATTATCGATCTCAGACGCGTCTGTCACCACATATATATATCAAGGTGAATTCTCGTGTTCCACTATTCTGACTGACACCGACCGCCTAGTTCCATCTATGCACTTCACCCGACTCACAGTCACTACATGGAATCTGATAGATTAGATTAGTTTGCTCAATTCGTTCTATCGAATCCTTAAGCCAACCGACAAATCCCATCTCGGAGTGAGTTCGTAGGTTTAAATCCCACTCTAATTCCAAACTTCTTGGAAACCCTATGTAACATCTCTATATCCCTTCCTTATGTCGTAACGCAATGGAGGTTGTGAACTCCCATCTACTCGTGTCATCACTCTTATGATTCTGTTTCTTATGTTTTCCTACGAATTCGTCAATAAACTGTAGAGGATAATTATTGAATGCTAACGCTTCTCTTCTGTGTTTCATTTCCTTGTCTAAGTCGTCACAATGACTGGTGACTAAACCTGTCTCAACTGACATGGATTGGATGAGATGACTTGAAGTCTAGATATGTGTTTCAATGTGTTGGTTTTGTGAAGATGGTAGTATGTAGATCATCATCTGTCTTTCGTTTTATCCTATAATCCAGCACAAGTAATTAATTCTCTTTGCTCATTTTCTATGTCATTGTGAGTGGATTGTATTGCGCCTACTTCTGGGTTTATATGTGTTACGAAATTGTCGACATATTCCGATTTCAACAAAGTGATTGTGTTATCCACTAAGTATTGGATGACACCCGAATAAGATCAATAATCAAGGAAAGAACTTGACTATTGCAATGCATGCACTGACACGTAACCACAATATAGAGTGGGATAAAATCACTCTATTCAAATACAATTTAATTAGGTGAAGCGTCAAAGATTGATTACTGAATAATCTTTGTTCATTGAATCAGTAGCCAACACATATAATGGGAATGACAGAACACCTACATCAGAGATATTGGGAGTTTTTCGATGAATAAGAATAAATATAAGAGGTGACAGGAATATAAAGGTTAGATATCGAAAATGGTGTGACCATAGTTGAACGATTCTGTGCAATGATAATTCGTACTTGAAAGACCAACTAGTAAATTATACTGTATCACTGTTTGTTTTACATCAAATAAAAATTTCTGATATGGAATAACATTCTACCACACTGTTAAAGTTTTACACTTGTACTGATTATGATTTCACTAAGATACCCGGCGGTCGCTGGTTCGAATCCGACCGCGGTTCAGATTTTTATCTCATCTCCAATCATCACCCAGGGCAAAAATCATATTAATGAATTTAGTCATGTAGTGGGTTTATGTCGTCAATTCCATAGTACTATTGAAATCACATAAAAATTCATTGTGAGTAGATGACAATGAACCAGTAATTTAGCTTAGTTTTTGTTAAATCAAGGAATAAGTCCGGTTGGAAAGTTTCTTGAAAATCAAACTAATAGCACTGGTAATAATATTGCGTAATTATATCTATCTGTTAATATTATAAAATATCTGTATGCTTACCCATATTAACTATGAAGCAGCAAAATAACTTACTTGTCTTCTAGTATTTATTGAAGGTGCTTGATTTACTGGATAACTGGTTCCGTAGATGTTGATATGACTGTTGGCGCTACTCACTATACTACCAGTAGTAGTGGTAGTAGTAGTAGTAGTAGTAATGGCAGTAGCGGCAGTGATAGGATAACTGGGTACGATTCTAATATTGTTGTTTGTATTGTGAACACCACTGACTACTTGTTTTCTGCTGGCGTCTGTAGTGTCTGAAATTTAAGAAACAGTGAAAAAGCAAACAGTCAGATAGAGAGAAAAAGAGAGGTTACAGTTACTGCATGTAATTTTCACCTAACATTTTGACTAGTCAACGTTGAACCCGGCATAGAATTTCATTGAATCAATTCGATACACGTAATAACAGGATGTTTCAGGTCAAGGAAGATAATAACCGATAGACATAGCTCTGGAGGCAGTTATAAATGGGCTTAGTGATGAAAATTAGCTTATGCATCAAACTAAGGTGCCGATCGAGGAAATCATACTGAGAGTACTAACGTGCATAACATCTCCAATTTTTAAGCTTCAAAATAAAATATATAAACAAAGTGAAGGGGTTGCCAAGGGATCGCCAATATCCCCTTTAAACATTTAGTCCTAATCCAAAGATATCCTTCCGATATGTAGATGATACATATAAACAGCACTGAAAACAAAACACATCAACAGCTTCTTTGTACACATATAAATTCAGTAGTAAGTGTAATCCAATTTACTTCTGAATTACTTAGAAAGTGAGGAAGGTGAGCTAGCAGTGTTGGATTGCAAGATTAAAAGAAAACAATATGGGAGTTTAGAGACTAGTGTCTGCAGAAAACCTTCCCATTTGAGTCGCTACTTAGACTTCATATAATCTCACCGCATCTCAGTTAAAGTAGGATGAGATAAATGCCTTAGTGACAAGGCAAAAAAGCTTACTAGTAGGCCGGAAAATCTACGACAAGTAATCAGACATCCAGAATACCTTATGTCTCCCTAACTACTTACTTAAATTTCTCAATAAATTCATAAGTAATCAGAGGAAGAATATAGTCAGTAGTAGTAACACAGGTGTTTGTACTGACTCTACCAGTAATAGTAACAGTAGTATTAATGAAGGTGACAGGATTGAGAGAGAATTCAAAGCCTCCATTGTTTTACTTCACAAAGAAAGCACCTTGGAAGCGTTACAAAGAAATCTTAATAAGGCTGGGATTAGAGCGGCATTTAAACCAAAAAAAATTGTTCGGCAACAAGCTTTGTAGTTTAAACAGATCCCACCGATTCAATGAGGCAGAGCAATTCAATTTACCAAATCACTTAAATGCTTAGGTCAGAGTAGTATAACAGAGTCAATTTGAATAACAGAACACTAAAGCTTAGCCAAAGCAAGATTAGTAGATCCTAATGAAATAAGGAATTCGAAGGTGAAAAATAAGAGTTCACGTTTGCACCACTGTTAACAACTGTGAGACATATCACCAAGAGTTTGCAACTATTGGTTCCAGACATGGAGAGCGCACCTACCTTACCTAATCACACCAAGCTATAGACTTCATGAAGTTATGGTAGTCTTGGTTTGATTTCCTACTAATCATACATAAACTAACTGATAGGAGGTGGCTTAAGTGGAAACGAAAACACTAAGTCTTCAGTCAATAAGGTCAAACAGTTTGTATTTTAATTTTCTATCATGTTGCTGTGTAGTCAAGGAAAACCTTATTGGACATTTTATCCTACAGTTGACCAATCAGAATAAACAGCCAACTTCTGACCTGTTGGTTTTATGAGAACTGTGCATAAATGATGTATTTTAGTCGAATAAAGAGTCTTCATAGCAGTCATTGGACAGTCCTTGTCTTCTGATTTTTATGGCTTAATGGAGCATAAGGTTCTGAGGGAGAACAGTCACTTTTCGTATCCAATCGGGTGTCTCGTTGCGTTATTATGGTCGATCTATTATTATTAATATTACTATTCACTTGGTCACCTCACACACATACCACGTTGAGATAAGTGATGATTTTACGTGTCCAACATAGATCAAAGCCATCACGAACTCTCCTCAGCTGCATACAGTCAATATGTACAGTGGTTATTAGCACATGCTTATAGTCGGCAGGATAGAAATAGTAAGACTTAAGGTATTAGCCAGTCCATATGTCTTTTCTATGGATAGTCTTTCAAATCGTACTATCAATTGTTCTTCTGATGGTGGCTAGTCAGAAAAGTCTACAGTAGAGCTAGAAACGTATGTTGTATGAAGAAGTTAGAAAAAGAACTAAACATTAGTGAGGATTGATATTTTAAGAGATTTATTATGAAATACAGGAAAGAAGCTTTTGAAAAGAAGAAGATTTCTATCCATCTTACATTCAACAAAAGATGCAATATCCAAGAGGATAGACACAAGAATCAAAGAAACACAAGGAAGGAGGTTCCATGCAGCTAAAGTTGTATTAGTACATGATATTACATGTTCACTAAATCAATTTAAATTGGATAATTACCCTACTCATATCACCTTCAACTGTTTTTATGAATTTATATTTACTTTTGGTAGTAAGTACGTTGGAAGAACTGAGAGGAGAGCGTCTATTCGGTTCATACAGCCTATTCCAAAGAACCAATGGAATAACTAGACATCTCAAAGACAAGCTGAAACCTTGAGGGATTTAAAGATAATGAAGGTACAGAAAATGTCTGGATTATTGCACTTCGCGGAAGACATCACTATGAAATTCTTCCAATCTAACCTATGTATACAGAAGGAAAGTGTGGGGGGTAATCACTAATTCCCTTGATAACTATAATCTGATCTTGCTTGATTTGTAGTTCATGATTTCGTATTACAACTTAAGACAGTTGAATTCCTAACTTTAAAATATCTTATGTACTAATAACTATTGCCCTTTAAGAATTTATGCAGCAGTGAAGGAGTATTTATGATGTAAAATGATGATATCATTACATTCACCAAATCTCGTTCGTTTTGTCTAAGTAAAGCTTTTTGAATTCACCTTACTATAATTTCCATAGTTCGTTTCTTACTTAATCACTGACATCATTCTGCAATCATACACTATGAGTTCCATATTGTAACCTTGTTCAACTTGTCATTATTCGAATGTATGTGATCTTGGTAAATCGAAATATGTCGACAATTTCGTAACACATATAAACTCAGAAGTAGGCGCAATCCAATCCACTCACAATGACATAGAAAATGAACAAAGAGAATTAATTACTTGTGCTGGATTACAGGACAAAAAGAGGGACAGACGATGATCTGCATACTACCATCTTCACAAAACCAACACATTGAAACACATATCTAGACTTCAAGTCATCTCATCCAATCCATGTCAGTTGAGACAGGTTTAGTCATCAGTCATTGTGACGACTTAGACAAGGAAATGAAACACAGAAGAGAAGCGTTAGCATTCAATAATTATCCTCTACAGTTTATTGACGAATTCGTAGGAAAACATAAGAAACAGAATCATAAGAGTGATGACACGAGTAGATGGGAGTTCACAACCTCCATTGCGTTACGATATGAGGAAGTGATATCAGAGATGTTGCATAGGGTTTCCAAGAAGTTTGGAATTAGGTTGGGATTTAAACCTACGAACTCACTCCGAGATGGGGTTTGTCGGTTGGTTTAAGGATTCGATAGAACGAATTGAGCAAACTAATCTAATCTATCAGATTCCATGTAGTGACTGTGAGTCGGGTGAAGTGCATAGATGGAACTAGGCGGTCGGTGTCAGTCAGAATAGTGGAACACGAGAATTCACCTTAATATATATATGTGGTGACAGACGCGTCTGAGATCGATAATCTAGAAGAAGACGTGGTTATTGTAATGGATGTGTTGGCAGACAACTACATAATAGGGTGGGATAAAACCACTCTACTCGAGTCCAATATAATTATGTGGAGAGGTGGAGAGCTTGATTACTGAATAGTCTTTGTTCATCCAACCAACACGCAACACATGTTACGGGAATGACGCGATATTTGTATACCAGAGATGTGGAATATTTCACTACCAAGAGAAACAAACAATGAGAGGTGACAGGATTGTAAAAATTAGATGTCGAATGTGGTGTGATTACAGTGATATTGATATGAGCAATGATAATTTATGCTCGCAATATCATCAAGTGAATAAATATTAGATTACTGTGTACTATACATCGAATTGACTAATGTGACATGGAAATGAATTCTGAAATGTTGGAGAATATTTGTATTTCAGATGAGTGATGTTGGTTGTGTTGTGTTGTGTTGTGTGATCTGTGTTGTTTAGTCATGAAGTTGTCATCGTCTTGCTAGACAATATCATCAGCACTAACTCCAGTATGAAGTGAGTTGTCAATATCTCTGCATAAGTGATTTAGTTGTTTGACCTGACCAACTGCTTTGTGATCGGTTGTTTCCACTGATTGTTGTGTCAGTGACTGTATAGATTTCCTTGTTGGTAGATGCTATGCTTCACCTCTAACCTTTCTGCTGTTTATCAATATTCTCATTGGTTGATAGATTGAGTGTATATCTGTACATGTGTCTATTGATTGCTGACTGACTGACTGTCTGACTGGCTGACTGCCTGACTGACTGACTGAATGATGTGAATGTCAAGTGTCTAGGAATTCTCTGATATTCTTTGTGTTTTGTCTGTCCGAGATATCTGTCTACATTGTCGAAATTGAATTCATGTGCATAGTTGTTATCCAGTTGGATTGAAATGAGTGGTGAAATGTCGTGACGTTTAATGGCCGTATGGTGTTGATGTAGATGAAGGCGAAGAGGGTGACCACTTTGTCTAATGTAGTGTTGAGTACAGTTATTACAGTTGATTTTGTCAATGAAATTCTGTTTGTCTTCTTTGGTTGTTGTATCTTTTGGTTTCCATATTAGTGTTTGTAGGGTATTTGTTTGTTCATGAGGCACATGAATTCCAACTGGTCTGACTTATCTTGTCATGATTTCTGATATATTCTTGGTGTATAGTCGGATGATGCGTTTACTGATTTCTGTCGATGACATTTTAGTTGTTGATGTATGGGTTAGGCACTTTCTGAGAAGACTTCGTGTGCAGTCGTTCTTCATTATGATGGACATCACGTAATTTTCTTCGTTTCTCCATGAAGTTGTTGTACTGCAGTATGTTCTGACTCTTTTGAATAGAGTCTGCATGCAACTTATTCTGTGGATTGTCTGG